CAAGGAGATGCCTGTCGTAGATATTCCCTTCTTTCTGTCCTTCCAATGTAACTGCTCCCGCAGATACATGTAAATTTGTATACACAGTTGGAGGTAACATGAGAAGCATATCTATCGATTTTTGATTGTTGTTGTAGATATATTTAACAATGTCTTTGCCATGTAAACAGCTGACGAGAAGGCAACGAAATAAAAGATGGTACCATTTTATTCTGCTAAAACTGTAGTTCTTGCTTTGTTCAAATTCATTAAGGGGAATAAATGTATGAGACATAATACTCACTTGAACTACTCGATTTTATTGGACATACACTTGAACAACAAATATTCGATTGAATATTATATACTACTTATCAATGAATTTCAGTAATTAAATGCTACTTACATCAATTAGTAATGTTTACCTTTTGAGCACCGACATGCTGTGCTGTGCCGAGATGACCAGATGACCGAAAATAAAGCTGAATATGTCCAGACCACTAGAATTCTATCTGCTTACAAACTAAACAGTTGTAGATGGAAATTTTCTCTGGAAGATCAGAATATTCATTATACCATAACATAAAACTATTTCTCATTATAAATGGGATATAGGTATATTCAAAACAGAAGATACAAAGAAGAGACTGGCTTTTTTCAATGAACTTATTTTCAAGCTGTAAAATCCCTTTACTATCTTCACATTCCAAAATCATTTCTGAAGTATACCAAAGGAGTGCTAAAAGGTCTAATAAGTGATGAGGAATTCTTGAAATTGAGATGTAATAAAAACACAGTTACAGCAAAGAGAATTATCTTGTCGACAAAGTCATCGTCAACCAGGCTGTACATTCGTGTGTATTTATAACAGATGGATGGGAAAGTTCCAGAATAATTTCCGGTTATGTGTCAAATAATTAAAATTACAATTAACAGGGGGATAGACAAAACTCTAACAAAGTAGCATCATAATTGCTGAGAAGATTGACATTGATTGTGTAATTAGGGGTTAGAAATGTAGCGATAACAAAAATAGACAGGATGTTTGGATACAAAAAATTTAGTGAGATCATAACTAATGTGACGAATAACTGTTCATGCAATCAGGGATTAAATATAAGAATAAAACTTGTGCACTGTGGTAGAGTGTAATTCCATTATGGGTAAATTTTTGTTTTGATAAAGTCTCACAGTGTTATACAGTAATGTTTACTGATGTTTCAAGCACAATTTATTACTGCTCATAATCATATCAAGGTTATTAAATATGTAGATTAAATTAAGGGATTAAATATGTAGAAATGATAAAATGACAAAATAGACAGGAAGTTTGGATATGAAAATATAGTTGTGTAAATAGGGATTAAGAAAAACTTAAAAATAACATGAATAAACAGGAAGTTTGGATAAGAAAGGCAATAGGATAGTCACTGTTAGAGGAATTACCTGTTTATGATGGCCACGGCAGGGAAAAGAGTTGAATGTATTTCTTTTGGATACACTGCGTGGGTTTGAGCTTTTGGATGGCTTGTGTCTCGACTATGCCAACACTTAAATATGCCCAGATGTCTTAAGTTCACTCGCTTTGATATGTTTGGTAGAATCTTGTATATTACTTTGAAGGAGTTTTCGAATGTCTCCGAATGTTCTGAACTGACCAGATGTTCTGTGACTGAACTATATACACATTTTCGTTCTCCTCTTACTAGCCAGGCTGGATAGCGTTCAAGAGCGCATTTTTCAAGTTGGCACATGGTATGACATGTACTCAGATCCGCACGAGCAAGTTAACTGGTATACGGATGTTGTAGTGGCCCAATGCAACAGCTTGTCTTTCGCATTCTGACTGAACAGTTTTTTGCAGGAAAACGTCAGTCGTAGACTTGTGGCAAAAAATTATTCGCATAAAGAATTATTCGTCACATTAGTTATGATGCCACCAGATTTTTTATCCAAACATCCTGTCTATTTTGTTATCTCTACCTCTCTAACCCCTGATTGCACAACCAATGTCAATCTTCTCAGTAATTATGATGTTCCTTTGTTTAAGTTTTATCTGTCCGCCCGCCCCCCTTGCTTATTATGGCACTCCAATTCCTAATTTTTAATTTTATTAATTTGAACCTCGACCTGAAATTATTCTGAAACTTTCCTACCCATTTATTATAAATTCACACGAATGTACAGCCTGGTTGACGGTGTCTTTGTCGACAAGAAAATTCTCTTCGCTGCGACTGTCTTTTTATTATTCTTGATATGTAGTCACATGATGTCTACTTTGTTTTGACAGTCTGTTATATTTTGCTATGTGTATATTGATCGATATTCCATTATAACTCACAATATATATATCTTGTCTGTCCATTAACCAAATAAACAATGTATGACCTTTTTGTCACATGACATTACAACTAATCAGAATCCAATCATGGTAAGATGTCTATCTTATTGGTTCACATATATTAGTCATTTTCGTATAAACTTTTGCACGGTACACTTTTATACACACTTGTTCACACTCTTTGGTATACTACGTACCCTTTCACGTTTCCCTTTCTTGGAAAATACACATATCATCGTGAGCCTGAAGGTCTTCTGATTTTCACCTTTTCGCGTCAGGACAATTAACTACTCGACGAGTACATAACAATTCTCTATGATCAAATGTGTATATTGTCTGTCTGTCTGTCTGTTTTCGACATAGAACACTGCACCAATGTGCACCAGTTCAAGTCGCCACACTCCGTGTAGCACGCGAAGCAAGCAAGAGAAGAAAGTACAAGAAAAGCATAACAGAAACAGTGAGCAGAGGTGTGAGACAAAGGAGTAATAAAGAAAAACAAAACAGTTTCATTGGAGATCATAAGTCACAAGGAGTGGATGCATCTGCGTCAACCACTGAGAACGATTTTGAGCCATGTCACTAGTTGTTTCCAACCATAGATTTTTACCGTCCCGAAGACCCCAACCAGTCAGGAAGTCTACACCTTCCTACGTGGCTTAGACCAACTGTTGTGGATTTCATTGACTGGTGAGGCCATGTTTTTGTTTGACCGCCGCTAGCTTTTTTCCAGCCTAACCCTATATGTGTGTATATTCCGTAACTTGAGATGTCAGAAAGGCTCAGGGGTACTGTTTATGAACGATTAATGGGCTAGATTACAATGATGAAGTTTATTTTAGATGACCCGCTGAGGTTTACAGCGAGAAATTGCAAGAAATTTAATATGGATTCAGCTGAAAAGCGCGTCACAGATGTATTGACAGTGAGCTCTTAAAAGATAAACTGATCGATATCGATAAGATAATGCTCTATTAAATTTCTTTGATTTCTTAGGGGCACCTGAGGCTTCAAGCTTCAGTTTTGATGTTTCAATCAATGGTGGTGCTTTAATTCCCACCGGGTGAGGTCACTAATTCCACACCCAGCCTTCCTTCTTTTCCGGTTTTACTACTACTATTACTTGTTAGGCGAGATTTCGGAGTGTGTGGGCAGGAGATCAAACTCAGGAATACATACGTGGTTGGCAAGCATCCTACCGCTGCATCACCGACGCAAACAACAGCGATACCTTCAATGATATGAAACTTTGAGGATCTCGTTTCCCTTATATATATGCCCTGTTGAAAACACATAAACAGTATGTCTCCCTGAGACTTATACTTGTGGAGTTTCGAACAATATGATTGTACAGTTTTTTGTTAGATATTAAAAATAGAAACTTTTGTTTAAAACTTCAGAGTATAATCTGAAATACAGTGTGCTACTCGACGCTTCGTCTTCGCCCTGGTGCATACTGTCTACTTGCTTCACTACTAACCATGTTTTATCTTTTAGGAGTTAGCAGGAACCTCTCATCGTCATCCGAAGATTATTCTACAACTGGTGCACATCTTCTACTAGTAGACATGACTCCAGCAGTCAGTGCTTCTGTGAATTATATTAATAATTTGTAACAGCAGACTTTAACCGTACCGCCAAGTAACCATTAGTTTCTATAACTCGTGAACTGTATTTTTATAATACACTGTTACACTATCATTTCATCAATTTGGATTTTTATTCTACTATTCGTTCCCCGTTACTGAGCTCACTATTAAGTCACCTGCATACTTATAATACTTATATAATATACTGTATTATACAGATGTAGACGCCAAGTCCCAGGGCTGGCTAACCAACAGAGACCTGCACAGAAGCCTCTGGGATGACATTTGCAGCACATGTCCAAGCCACCGAAGCCGGTGTTTCCAAATAACGACACTCAACAAACGGAGATCTCCACTGCGTCCAAACACACACGCCGATGAACCTCCAAATTACTCACGTGATGATGCCATTGAACGCAAACAATCCTGCGGAGATACCGATGATCGAATACGCAGAGTCGTCGTACATCTCAGCTTAGACAGACCAGGTTTCACAGGCGTAGAGCAAGACAGTCCACACCGAGGAATTCTATACCCGACCTTTGACAGCCAGCCTAACGCTGCGACGGCGCCAGGGGTGGCTCAAGTTGATCTATGCCACCCTAGCTTCATGATACGGTTGGAAATCTCATCCATCACCAACCCTCCACCATCACTTACACAACTACTCAGATACACAAACTTATCAACAACTTCAAGCGGTTCACCCGCAAGAGTGAGTGAAGGTACAGGCTCTGCCTATCTTGTAACAGTACAAAGCACATACCATACTTAGAGACACTGATCGCCAACTGACTAAGTGCGATTTGGGCAGCCTGCATGCTATTGCACAGTAAGACGATATCGTCTGCATACTCGAGGTCGAAAAGTCTATCTCCAAGTAGCAGATCTACACCACCTTCACGCACATCCTTCAGAGCTGACTACAGAATGTCATCGATGGCAAGGTTAAAGATAAATGGAGAGATTGGGCAACCCTGTCTAACCCAATGTTGTATGATACATCTAATAAACAAACTAATATGGAATTAAACCATAGTAAAACAAAATTAATCAAACTAACTGAAAGCATGTTGACAGAATAAAACACAAGACAACACAATATTTTAATAGATAATTTTTATAAGCAAAATATACTATGTACAAAACCACTACTATTATTACTCCTGATAAGTCAACAATATTATACACACGCACACATTAGCTGCCTGTTTGCTTTCCTTCACCCTTCTTTTTCTTACCCTTACCACGTAATTCACGTAGACGTGCCATCTCTTCACGAAAATCAGCATGTTCATCTCTATACAAACCGACATGACGTAATTTCCAGAGGATACTGCTATACTCTTCTAAATTTGGATAATAATCTTTCAGTATCATTGGACGCGGTAGTTCACTCATGATCTTGACAACTTTCATTGATTTATTGTCAATTGGTTTACCGACATCTTTGAATATGCGTCCAGCGAGAAGTGTCATTCTTTTTGCATATAATGAAGTCATCTGTATCATGGAGAATTTAAATTAGTATCAAGAAATTTTTTTGAAAAAAAAGACTCTTTTGTAAAGGTAAAAAATTATTCAGGATTCATAACCGTGGTGACTAAGAATGAGATCCAGGATGCTTTCATCATGCATTGGTCACTGAGCAGTCTAAAAAGTCGCCTTGTAAATGGCAGGTTGTGGGTTCCAGCACCGGTGGGTAGGTACTGCTGAATAATCCCAAACTATCCAGTACTCCTTGGTTTCAAAAGGCGTGTGTAATGATCATCAATCCGCTCCGTCCTCGTTTATGGCCAGCTATGAGTGAGAACTGACCCTTGAGAGTGGAAGACATGAAAAGATTAGCTGTCTTCGATCATAGATGCATGCGTTCTATTTCCCGTGTGAAGTGGTTTAATAAGGTGAGCAATATTGAGGTTAGGCCTCGGTGGATTGCTAGGTAAGGAGGAGGGGAAATCAATCGACGAGGCTGTGAAGTTACAAAGACTGAGGTGGTTAGGACATGTGTTACGTATGCATCCCTAGTCATCGCCTTCCTCGACTTACAAGCAATGTTGGCTGATATAGGGTGAAGCTGGAAAAGAACTAGTGGCGGTCAATCAAAAACATGACTTCATCAGTCATTGAAATCTACAACAGTTAGCTTAAGCCACGTAGGAAGGTGTAGACTTCCTGACTGGTTGGGGTCCTCGGGACGGTAAAAACCAATGGTTGGAAAGAGTTGGGGATATGGCTCAAACTCATTGTTCTCAAGGATAGCGTAGATGCATCCCACTCTTTGTGACTTATGATTTCCAATGGATTCATATTGTTCTTCGTTATTACTGTTCCTTTGTCTCACATCTCTGTTTACTGTCTCTCTCTATTATGTATTTCTTCTACTTTCTTCTGTTGCTTTGTGTGCTACACGGAGGGAGTGTGGCGACTTGAACTGGTGCACATCGGTGGAAAGTTCTATGTCGAAAACAGACAGACAGACTCCTTGGTTTCCCATTGGTTCCTTGACTGATGTAATTATCAGCTTGTGATCAAAACCTGTTGTAACCAATCAAAATCCCTGAAGACCAACACTTGAAAAGTAGTCTGATGCCCATTGGCGAGTTCCAATGAGAAGTAACAGCTGGCGAGATCCAGCAAGTCAGGTAAGATGATAATAATGTGCTGATGAAGATTGGCTAGTGGTTGGCTGCGTTATACAAGTATCGCGAATTAGCTGAAATTGGAATTCATTCTAAGGATTCTCTAACTGATTTCAGCTCTAAATCCAATCTGAATTCAGGATGTGTACCTTTCATTCTACTAGTAACCATTAACCACATTAACACCATGCTGATTCTCAGATATCATCGAGGCATCTCCACTAGGAGTCTTCAAATATCAACGGAGACTGAGCGATTCGGTTCAACATAACTGGTCAAAGGGAAATGCAACCTAATGCAACCTAGAAACAAAAATCATAACTATCATTTATTGACCCCCCCCCAACCTACTGCCACCTATTAGATTGTGTGTATCGGAGGGGGGATGACCTATAGACTAAGAAAATCAATAATCAGATAATGAGTCGTGGACTCGAGTCCTGTCCCACCTACTTCAGTCTGGGCAATTGGGTAGCATCATCAGTCCTCTTCAACTGATAACAGGTATGGCATTTAACGAAGCGAATGAAACACTCATTTTCAATAGTTGGATTGTAAGGATTAGTTTTGTTGTTATGAGATGATCACGGATTGATACCAATTAGAGAACCAGTCGGTGAGTACTGATGATGATTCCTAGACTAAGATGGAGGAAACAGCAGACTAGTACTCCAGTGTTGGTCTTCCAATGGTTCTCTAACTGATTTCAATTCGTGATCAACTCGTAAAAAGAAACATTTATTCCTGCTAACTAAATTCAAACAAACAGGTTAAAGGTGTACTGAGGACTGATTGACTGACTAACTGACTGAGTTTTCAACATAGAACTTTGCACACACACACACACACTCCATGGCCACACTCCATCTAACATTCAAAGACAGAAAAAGGAGAGAGAGAGAGAAAGAGAGAACAAAGAGATTCAAAATATTATTACTGAAATGTGAGGGTAAACGAACAGTAACACGGAAAAGCTTGAATTTTAATAGACCTAGGAGACAACAAAGAGTGAATGAATCTCAGCTGTTGAAGACGATTTCCAACCATATCTCAAGCCATTGGTTCTAAGCATCTTTAGGATCCCAATCTGGAAGTCTATACCTCGATACAAATGCTCAAAACTAAAAGTCAAAGACTTTTTGAATTGATGCCAGATTTTGATGAGTGTCTACCCTGATTAACTAGCTGGTCTCAACGTCTGTCTGTCTGTTTTCGACATAGAACTTTGCACAAATGTGCGGAAGTTCAAGTCGCCACACTCCGTGTAGCACGCGAAGCAAGCAAGAGAAGAAAGTACAAGAAAAGCATAACAGAAACAGTGAGCAGAGGTGTGAGACAAAGGAGTAATAAAGAAATACAAAACAGTTTCATTGAAGATCATAAGTCACAGGGAGTGGATGCATCCGCACTGGCCACTGAGAACGATTTTGAGCCATGTCACCAATTGTTTCCAACCATTGGTTTTTACCGTCCCGAGGACTCCAACCAGTCAGGAAGTCTACACCTTCCTACGTGGCTTAAGCTAACTGTTGCAGATTTCATTGACTGATGAAGTCATGTTTTTGTTTGACCTCCACTGGCTAACTGTTTTCCAGCCTGACCCTATATCCGCTAACATTACTCGTCGAGGGAGGCGATGGCTTGGCATACGTAGCACATGTCCTAAGCATCTCAGTCTTTGTAACTTCACAACCTCGTCGTTTGATTTCCCCTCCTTCTTACCTGGCACTCCACCGAGGCCTAACCTCAATATTGCTCATCTTATTATGCTACTTCACACGGGAGATAGAACACAGACAGGCACCTATGATCAAAGACAGCTAGTCTTTTCATGTCTTCCACTCTCAGTGGCCAGGTCTCACAGCTGGCCATAAAGGAGGACGGAGCGGACTGATGGGCAGTACATCCGCCCTTTGGTCGATAGTCAAACATCTCGTCTACTCCAGAGTCGGCGTAAACTGGCAAATGCGAAACGAGCCCCCTGTATTCGTGCTGAGATTTCGTCAGAGATCACCCCGTTGGTGTTGGCTGATGGTGTGGTGAGAGCAGGCTGCTAGCCGATTGGTTGGCACTAATCTACGTTAAGGTCTAGGTCACTAATGTGGGCCGTGAGAAAATATGAACAAGCCTGAGTCAACAACCAATCACAGCAAAGTTAACGTGGCAAAATATGATTCGCAGATAGAGAACTCTGTTTGTCAAGGAATCCCGAAACAACCAATCAGAAGCCTGCGTTTGTCTACCTAAACAACCAATCAGATGACTGCGCTTGTCTATAATAATGTAGTTGAAATATGTATAAATACGTGTTGATTTTCATAATAAAACGATCTGTTGCCTGGCCCTTGTCTTCTGTTGTTACATTTGGTGTCGCTGCCTACCGACAAATGGAAAGCCTATGCCCCGCTGTTTTCGATGGAGACATATGGATCTTCGGGCAGGACTTCAAGGCTTCTGCGCAGTTGAGTGGCGTTCAAGATCTGTCAGCGATGGAGCTGCTACTTGGGACGCTGCTGGGAGGTCGGGTGAAAGCAGCATATGAAACTGTGAGCCGAAGTATGGACGAATGTTCGACAGGGTCAGGCAAACAGTTTCCAAAGTGGGAAGGACCATATATGGTCACTTCGAGATGGGGTTACGCAGACACAGTCGCAATGGCGAACAATAAGAGGCGCGTGAACGTCAGCGAGCTCCAGAAATGGATACAGCGAGACAAGCCAACGATGACGCCTGCACCAAGTAGATCAAGCCGACTTCAGTCGCACGTATTTGACGGGGGGACGAGTATGGTGAGAGCAGGCTGCTAGCCGATTGGTTGGCACTAATCTACGTTAAGGTCTAGGTCACTAATGTGGGCCGTGAGAAGATATGAACAAGGCTGAGTCAAAAACCAATCACAGCAAAGTTAACGTGGCAAAATATGATTCGCAGATAGAGAACTCTATTTGTCAAGGAATCCCGAAACAACCAATCAGAAGCCTGCGTTTGTCTACCTAAACAACCAATCAGATGACTGCGCTTGTCTATAATAATGTAGTTGAAATATGTATAAATACGTGTTGATTTTCATAATAAAACGATCTGTTGCCTGGCCCTTGTCTTCTGTTGTTACAATGGTACTTCCCAAATAAGTGAAGCGGTCAACGTGCTCTACCACTTCACTTCCTATTTTTAAACTAGGCGTCGCTGTAGTCCAGTCCTGTAACATCATCTTGCTTTTGGCAGGAGCGAATCGCATGCCAAACATTCGTAGATTGCGGCTCAAGGTGTTCAGAAGACTCTGCATTTCGTCAGCGTCTTCGCCTAGAAGGACTATATCGTCTGAATATTCCAAGTCAACGAGATTATTCCCTGGTAGCAAGTCAATCCCTGAGTCGCTGAAGTCACTTAGGGTTAAGTTCATTAACACATCTATGATGAAGTTGAATAGAAAAGGGGGATAATGGGCATCCTTGACGGACACCAATAGTCGTCACCAGTTCAGATGACAGCTCGCCTCGTCGTAGGACTTTGAACAGATGTGCAGCAGTTCAAGTCGCCACACTCCATGTAGTACACAAAGCAAGAGAAAAGAGTGAAGAAAGATTCGAAAGTGAGGCAGATAATATACAGAATTGTGAGGGGAAAAGAATAGTAGTAATATGGAAGAACAATAGAGTTTTATTGGATATTATACAGCACAAAGAGTGAAGGCATCTGCTCCAGTCAGCTACTGAGAACGATTTTGAGCCATATCACCATTGGTATTGGTTCTTACCATTCCGATGATCCCAACCAGGAAGCCTACATCTCCTTAGGTGGCTGGATGGCTTGAACTAACTGTTATAGATTTCATTGACTGATGAAGCTGTTTTGGCTTGACCACCCACTAGCTTTTTTCCAATCTGATCCATCTTGTGTCAGCTGAAATTACTCATTGTCGAAGAAGGCGATGGATGGCTAGGCATGTATGCGTAGCACATGTCCTAAACATCTCAATCGATGTAAATTCACAGCCTTATCCATTGATTTCCACTCCTTATCTAGCACTCAACGGATGCCTACCCTCAATATTGCTCACACTATTCTACCACCTGCAATGGAAGATAGAATGCAGACACCTATGATCAAGGACCTTTTGACGTCTTCAACTTCCAGTGGCCATGTCTCACAGACATAATTGAAGACGGAGAAAACTGATGAGTAGTACACACGCCCTTTGGTCGATAGTCGGATATCATGTCTACGCCAGAAATGTCGTAAACTAGCATATGCGAAACAAGCCTTCTGTATCCGTCAGTCTACCCCTAGCCCCTTTCTAACCTACCTCTATGTCAGCTAATATTGTAAATCAAGTAAGGCGTTGGCTCAGTATGCACAACACGTGTCTTAGCTATCTCAATCAATTCACCTTCACAACCTCATCGACTGACTCACTTTTATTACTTAACACTACTTATATTCTCAATATTACTCACCATTAGTGCGTCGTTGGCACAGTGGTTAGGACTCTCGCCGACCATGCACATAGTCCGGGGTTCGAGCCCACGCCGACGCACACTTGATATATATGGTCGGCCTGCGAATTTTGGGCTACCGATATCCACGCTGAAAATTCCACACTTGTACCAAAAATACGGTGTGGAATCAAGCTGTAATAAAAAATAAAAAATAAATAAATATTATGTCACTTAACACGCCAGATACTACACAGATACCTGCAGTCAAACATAGCTAGCCTCTTCAATATTTTTATTTTCAGCATTAGTACCTCATAGCCATAAAGAAGGACAGAGAGCACAGCTACAGAGTACACAATGATATAAGAATAAAACTTAAGCCCTGTGATAGAGTATAATTCCAATGTGGGTAAAATTTATTTTGATATAGTCTCACAGTGTTTGTTATACAGTAATATTTACTAATGACCATGTTTCAAGAACAACTTATCGCCGATCATAACCACATCAAGGAAATACTCACAAAACTTTCTAACTTCTTTTATATAATTCCATCATTTTCCATCGCTTGATTTGATTGGTAGTAGTATTTTCCATATTTCCTATTGCACGCGCTTGGTGTAGACTCTATGAACAAGGATTCAGTAGTCGATCTCTCTCGCTCTCCACCTATTTATTTTAATTATTAGAATTTCGACTCTGTCCCACTCACCCTATTCTGTGGTTGTGTGTTAATGCATGCATTACAATTGCTGAGCTTTTTTTCTAAATAATTTATCTTCGTGAGGCTAACCATTCCTACCTTAGCTAAACTCTTATGTTCCGACAATCTGACTACCCCCATCTGATCTACTAGTTTGACCTATGTAGTTGACCTAACTCACAGTCATTGTGAGGTATTTTGTAAATTATATTATTTCGTTTAATTGGGTCCATCGGGTTCTTCAGCGAAGAATTTTGGAACACAGGGATAAATTCCAACAGCGGACGGTTGCTTGCTTCATCGACTTCCGAGCGGCATTCGACTCAGTTGATCGAGGAGCACTCTGGTATCTAATGGAGCTCGACGGAGTTCCGACCAAGCTAATCAACCTGCTCAGGTCATGCTACTCCAACACCAAAGCTCGAGTCCGAGTGAACGGTGAAGAGTCTCGCACTTTTGAGGTAACCAGCGATGTCCGGCAAGGTTGTCCAGCATCCCCCATCCTGTTCAATTTCACAATTGATTGGATTTTGTGGCACGCCCTAACCGAGCACCACGGCGTCCAACTTTCGCCGGATATTCACATAACCGACCTCGAATTCGCCGACGACATCGTGTTATTAGCTGAAAACTTCCCCGATATGCAACAGGCGCTCAATCAGATAAACCACCTCGCGCCTACTATCGGTTTGGAAATGTTTTCGAACACATCCACCAGCAATGATGAAATCTTATCCCTGAATGGAGCACCTATTGAAATTGTGCCATCCTTCAGATATTTGGGATCCATAATGCTCCCCAACGGTCAAGCGAGAAACGAAGTGAATGCGCGAATCTCCAACGCCCGGAATGCGTTTCTACAGCTGAGGAGCGTTCTATGGAGCAAGAGGGAAATCAGTCTCAGGACTAAAATCCGGGTCTACCAAGCCTCCATACGACCCGTTCTCCTGTATGGCTGTGAAACCTGGCCTCTTCGCGCGGAAGATTTACGCAGACTCGAGGTAGTAGACCATTGGTGCCTCAGGTACATTCTGCATGTTCGTTGGCAGGACAAACTCTCCAACGAAGAAGTGCGTCGTCGTTGCTACAACATCAACCAAATTCCATTACTGGTCCAACAACGTCGCCTTAGGTGGTTTGGCCATGTTCTGCGCCGACCAGATGACGATCTGGTCAAATCAGTTCTAAATCCCTCGCCATTTTCATCTTGGCGATGTCGCAGGGGTGGACAGCTGAAAACATGGCTTGGTACAGTCAAGGCTGATATGGAGTGACTGGGCTGGGGCTACAAACCGTCTACGGACTCCGTCTGTGGAACAAGAATTGGATAATCCTGTCGCAAAACCTTGCATCAGATCGCTGCGCCTGGGCAGCGATGATTCGAGATGTTCATGAAGCCGGCTCATCCTCCCGTAGGAGATAGCCGAAGTAAAGTAAGTAAGTAGTCCATCGGGTCCTTCAGCCCACAGAGCTTGTCCCTCAGTGAGTTTGTAGGTTTAAATGCCGCTCTAATTCCTGTTTTATTTAGAATCCTACGTAGGGTCTCATATCCCTTCTTTATATGGTATAACTATAGATGACTTATATTCTCTCTTATTTATGTTATTATTACGAGTTTCACAATTATTTTTATTTTGCTTTTGGCCTTCCTAATGATTTCATAGCATAGTTAGTTATTTAACACCCATGCTTCTTCTTCTATCTGTTTTATTTCGTCATATAGGTCTTTTCTTGTGCTACTTAGTGCTATGGCTCGGTTTGTTAAACACTTAACTAAGCCTGGCTTAACAGTTAACGGATCAGATGAATTAAAGTCTAAGTATCTATTAGAATGAGTTGGTTTTCTGTGCACACTAGTGTGTAGTTTACCTTCTTTTATTCGTTTTATTTTACAATCTACCATGATAGCTAATTCTCCTTGTTCATTTTCCGATTCAAATGTGAATTTTATTCCCTCTACTAGTGAGTTTATATGTATCAAGAAGCTAGAGAGAGACATATATTCTGTTTCTAACACTGTATGTGAAAGTGTCATCCACATATCTCCACCATATTTTTGAAGTAGGATTAAATGTATTAAGCGCAATATTTTCCCAGCTGTCCATAAATATGTCTGCTATAATAGGGGATATTGGTGATCCTATTGCTACACCTTCTGTTTGTCTATATATTTCGCCTTGAAATTTAAAGATAGTAGATGTGAGGCATAACTGAATTCCTACATTAATTTTCTCAATTGGCAGCTTTGTCCTATGAATGGTTTCAGTATCTGCAGTTAGTTCTCCTTTAACTGCTTCTAAGGCCATATTGATTGGTATTTTAGTATAAAGACTCTTTATATCAAAACTAACCATTGTTTCATCAGTCTCTAGTTAAATGTCATTTAGTTTATGATCACGAAACTAGTAATGATAACATAAGAGAGAATATAAGTCATCTACAGTAGTTTTACCATATAATGGAGGGGATATCCGAGACCCCACCTAGGATTCTAAATAAAGCAGGAATTAGAATAGCATTTAAACCTACAAACTCACTGAGGGACAAGCTCTATGGGCTGAAGGACCCGATGGACCCAATTAAACGAAATAATATAATTTACAAAATACCTCACAATGACTGTGAGTTAGGTCAACTACATAGGTCAAACTAGTAGATCAGATGGGGGTAGTCAGATTGTCGGAACATAAGAGTTTAGCTAAGGTAGGAATGGTTAGCCTCACGAAGATAAATTATTTAGAAAAAAAGCTCAGCAATTGTAATGCATGCATTAACACACAACCACAGAATAGGGTGAGTGGGACAGAGTCGAAATTCTAATAATTAAAATAAATAGGTGGAGAGCGAGAGAGATCGACTACTGAATCCTTGTTCATAGAGTCTACACCAAGCGCGTGCAATAGGAAATATGGAAAATACTACTACCAATCAAATCAAGCGATGGAAAATGATGGAATTATATAAAAGAAGTTAGAAAGTTTTGTGAGTATTTCCTTGATGTGGTTATGATCGGCGATAAGTTGTTCTTGAAACATGGTCATTAGTAAATATTACTGTATAACAAACACTGTGAGACTTTATCACAATAAATTTTATCCATTATGGAAGAGAGCACACAAGCGCACCACCACTTCGACTCAAGGCATTGACACAAATTACTTTTTAGGTAACGAAATATACGTAAACTCACCTTGTGACTGTAAGGATTCGATTGTAATTATTATTCAAATGTATGAGTCGAAGTAGGGAACATGAAATTGGAGGTAAACTATCCTCATGTACTGCCAAACAGATTGTTGAGTGTTGTTTTGCCTTTTATTGAAAATATTCACTACAAAAAAATCGGGTAATTAAAAACTAACATTACTTAGCCTGTGATGCGTTACTAAGTGATAATATATGAGTTTACAGGAAGGTGTATAACCAAGGAAAAATAACCTATCAAATTCTGTAATATTATTGAGTCAGTCATACATTTCGCAAACTCTGTCTCTGCCTGTCTGTTTCCGACGTAGAACTTTCCACCGATGTGCACCAGTTCAAGTCGCCACACTCCCTCCGTGTAGCACACAAAGCAACAGAAGAAAGTAGAAGAAATACATAATAGAGAGAGACAGTAAACAGAGGTGTGAGACAAAGGAACAGTAATAACGAAGAACAATATGAATCCATTGGAAATCATAAGTCACAAAGAGTGGGATGCATCTACGCTATCATTGAGAACAATGAGTTTGAGCCATATCCCCAACTCTTTCCAACCATTGCTTTTTACCGTCCCGAGGACCCCAACCAGTCAGGAAGTCTACACCTTCCTACGTGGCTTAAGCTAACTGTTGTAGATTTCAATGACTGATGAAGTCATGTTTTTGTTTGACCGCCGCTAGTTCTTTTCCAGCTTCACCCTATATCAGCCAACATTGCTTGTAAGTCGAGGAAGGCGATGACTAGGGATGCATACGTAACACATGTCCTAACCACCTCAGTCTTTGTAACTTCACAGCCTCGTCGATTGATTTCCCCTCCTCCTTACCTAGCAATCCACCGAGGCCTAACCTCAATATTGCTCACCTTATAAATAAATAAATAAATTTATTCTCATGATACCACTTCACACGGGAAATAGAACGCATGCACCTATGATCGAAGACAGCTAATCTTTTCACGTCTTCCACTCTCAATGGTCAGGTCTCACAGTCATAGAGGAGGACGGAGTGGACTGTTGAGCGAACTCTAGTTCTATTCTCTGTGTTTTCAGAAGACGTTAATAAAATGAAGAGTCTTCTGAACACCTTGAACAGATATCTTCAAATAGTTTGTTATATGATTGGCTCCTGTCAAAGATAAGATAATGCTGCATGACTGGATTGCACCAGCCCCTAACTTAGAGAGACGCATTGAAGTGGCTGAGTGCGATGGTCGATTCACTCGCTTGAGGAGTAGAATCCATCCCCAATGGACTGGCTCCTAACGAAATCTAAGTACGAAGACAAAACGTACATGTAGCATTTGCCAACTTACATCATCATTATCGGCATAGACGTGTTATCTGGCTGGCTATCGATTAAAGAACGTGTGTACTACGCACCAGTCTGCTCTAAACTCCTTTACGGCTATGAGACAGCCTATAACGATTAACGCAATTCAGATATATATATATATATATATATATATATATATAT